GTAGACGTCAGGATTGATTCTTTAAATATGTGAAATTGTGCCAATTTTGCCACACTCACCAGTTTGTGTTGTTGTTGTCTTGTTGTGTTCCCTTTTATTTGTCCTCGTTTTTACTCTCATTTATGTGTTGTCCTCTTCAAGCAAGTGTCTATTTGCATCACTTATGTATAAGAAAGTGTGACTTATCATATACAGTATCGGTCATATCTATAGCACGCCATTTCAAAGTGATATTGTGTGCCACTTATGTTTATTTATTTATTTTTAAGAATTTTCAATTAAAATATAGTTCTTTCTCTAACAAAACCCATTTAAACCAAAGTTTAAAAATTTGTAGAAAACTACAAAAAAGTGAAACAAAATTTCCCCTAAATTTCAAACTTTTTTCTCGGAATGATTAGAATTTTTCTGAATACACAGTTTTATAGTCCAATCAATTTTAGTCTAATAATGTGCAAGTTTCAAGTGGCTACGAACTACCGTTGATTTTTTAGAATTTTTTCGCCAAAAGTGTTGCGGTTTTCTTCCATATACAAATAAATTGAGTTTATTCATTATATGGAAGCCAATGAGACAATAAAAAATTCTAAAAAATTAACGGTAATTCGTAGCCACTTGAATTTTGCACATTATCAGACTAAAATTGCAGGGGCTAAAAAACTGTGTACTCCAAAAAATTCTAACACTTCCGAGAAAAAAGTTTGAAATTTAGGTGAAAATTTGTTGCACTTTTTTGTAGTTTTCTACAAATTGTTAAACTTGGGTATATATGGGGTTTGTCTGAGAATGAACTAAATTTTACTTGAAAATTCTTAAAAGTAAATAAATAAACATAAGTGGCACACAATATCACATTGAAATGGCGTGCTATAGATATGACCGATACTGTATATTGACTTCATTGTAACCGTGTCGTCTCATGTGCAGCAGTAAAATTATGTCCTTTGCTGTTGTTGTTATGGTCTTGCTACTTATCATTTATAAAAAACACATTAAATCATTTCATCAAATAGGTTTCTTACAATTTATTAACTAACATTTTCTCCTTACCTTCGTTTTTTTCTAGGTGAACGGTGATGAGAGTTGGCAATATGAGGATATAACATTGGAGCGTGGCAATTCTGGACTTGGATTTTCGATTGCAGGCGGTACAGACAATCCTCACATCGGCACGGATACATCCATCTATATAACGAAACTTATAGCGGGCGGTGCCGCCGCAGCCGATGGCCGTTTGTGCATTAACGATATCATTGTATCGGTGAATGATGTTTCTGTGGTTGATGTGCCGCACGCGTCCGCTGTGGATGCGCTTAAGAAGGCCGGCAATGTGGTAAAATTGCATGTGAAAAGAAAACGTGGTGGTGGCGGCGGTGGCGGTGCTGGTGACGCTACTGCCGCCTCGTCGGCCACCTTGCCGCGTAGTGCTGCCGCTGCAGCAGCTGCTGCTGCCGGCCCGAAAGTGGTCGAGATCGATTTGGTGAAAGGCGGCAAAGGTTTGGGCTTTTCCATTGCCGGCGGTATTGGTAATCAACATATACCGGGCGATAACGGTATCTATGTGACGAAAATCATGGAAGGCGGTGCCGCCGCGGTTGATGGACGCCTGTCGATCGGCGACAAACTGATTGCGGTGCGCACAAATGCGGTATGTATATGTTATTTGATAATAGTGACGCATTTTTCTCATAAATATATTGCATATTTCTTTCACAGGCCGAAACCAATTTGGAAAATGTGACACATGAGCAAGCGGTTGCCACACTCAAGTCAATTACGGACAAAGTAACGTTGATCGTTGGCAAGACGCAACATCAAGTCAGCTCATCACAGTCACAATTCGGGCAGATTAATTCGCATTCAACAGGTGCGATTAATAATATTGGAAAAACTGTTGTTGATTTTGCTCGCTCACCATCACCCTCAATCACCACCACCACTATCACCACGAACAACAACAATGCCACGAGCAACACAACTATCACTAATAACATCAACAATAATATTCGATCCGCAGTACCCGCCTCCTCCACAGCAGCTGGTGTTGTATCATCAACATCCAGATCCCATTCACCTTTGCCTCGTAAGACAAACTGCATACATACTGCATACACGTACAAATATACATACATACATACATGCACAATACATTATATAAACAGCAAACGTACTAGTCTTAGACTCAGCGATAAATCACCTCAAGCTAATTTCTTTAAAATGAAAATTAGCACACATTTGCAAAATTATTGCTACATATTACTTATATTTAGGTCTATGTATGTATGTGTATAAATATTTAAATTTATGCACATTTAACCATAGTCGTCTAAACAAATGTGTTGCAGGGAGTGATTGCTTTCATCAGATATAGAAAGATTTTGGCATCTGTATGCAGAAAGGCGCTTAGTTACAAATCATAGAAGCAAAGTGAACAGGTGCGGAAATTACTGCCCACACGACTTAACCCACTACAACATAAAACTCGTCTAACTATTTTTAAGAATATTACACTTATTTCTACGCAATTTCTGAGATTAAGTATTTTAAAATCCTTTGAAGAACATTTTTTTTATAATCGGTCTTCATTACCCCGACCTCCACCCTAATGTCAGTCCTGTTAGTGAAAATTATATTGGTCTTTAAAATTATATGACTTAAGTATATATAAAACTATTTTGCCAATACATCATTAAAATATTCATTATGCCTGCCAGTAAATTTCATTTCAACGAATTGTTTATTTTTGTGATTGTAACTCGTCTGCAAAATTAAGATAAAACGAGTCTTTCTAAGAGCCTTAATTTAGAATAGCGATAGGCCTTCCGTTTTCGATTTTTGCAAGGCCTTCTCATTGGTATTTTTAATTTTCTGAACTTGTTTCCTTCTCCATACAAGCCTTGATGCCAGGGAACAGATTTTATGGAAATTGCCTTTTTTCTGCTAAAGACATAGAGTATATTCGATTTAGCTTTCCCTGGTTCCATATATAAACATTTGATTTAGCCTTTTTTTTTGCCTTTTTTAAGATATTTGCCTTTTTGGCCTATTGTAGCTATAGAAAGGTGATTATAGCGCCACTTGTATCAACTCACGTCGAGCAAGTTTTTTCAAAATTAATCTTATGATTGTCAGCGAATTTTGAGGTGGGACGAAGTGAGCAAATGCCGCAGTTGCCAGATCAGAACAGAGACGTAGCCCTTTGTGAAAGTGGACGCTCTTAGTATGAATGCCTATGTATAGAAATGCCCAGCAAAGTCAACACAGTGATGGTGAAGAGCAGGGCAAAATTGCATTGTTTGAATCAAATATGTAGGACTGTAAATACGACTTTTCGAAAGATTTCGATTTCAGTAGCACCTATCGAGCAATTTTTGAATCAAATTATTTCCCTTTGTCATCTAGGTGTGCCGCCAATTTTAGGACAAAGCATTTATTTTTCAGTGATTATTATTTTTACGATCTAAATAATATCGGGCTGTTTTAGACAAATGTATGTATCTCTACTCCGACGTCAGCTACCGGATTTTTTTGCACAGTAGACACCAGTGGAAACATACATTATGAATTTGAGTTCCATGGGCTCAGAAGTTCTCGGGCCTAGAAGTAAAGCTCCTTTTCAATTCTGAAAAAAAATACAACATTAAATATTTGTGCAAATAAGCAAAAAACATTTCCATCCCATATCTAATATTCTACATACATATGAAATATAGCCCCATGTCTAATAAAATCTATGAGCTAAAACAACTTCTTTGATGTTCGCAATCACTCCTCTATACGCCACCGTAGCTTATTCGTCTTAAAGTAAATATTTATACACAGGCATATGTACATACATACTTATATACAAACAGCATCCATATTTGCAAACGTATAAGGTAGCTTTTGAATTTAATGCTTCTAGCAGTTCATTCTTTTTTGTTTTCTCTTAAAGCTGAAAACTTTTATTGCACATTGGTCGCTATGCCACTAGCGCTAGTTTTCAATTTTATACATTTTAATTTATACGTATTCGCAAATATTATTTACGCATGCTAAAGTACAAATTTTATGTATGCAAATAGCTTGAAAATGCTATAAAAATTTTATTTTCGTTCCAATCCGTCTAAGCCCAAAACAAATATGTACAATACATAATTCAACTTGTTCGCCTTTCGATTTGCGTCACGTATTGTGCATTAGCGCACGCTGCGTGCATGAATTCGCCAGTGTTGCTTCATGTGTTAGCCCCTAGCAGTTTATGAAAAGTTATTGGAAATTACTTGCAACTGTAAGATTTTGCTGTTCACAATATTTTTTTTCTATTTGTTTGCTTTAGTTTAATGCAGCCACAAGCACGTTGCGGAAATTATGAAAAGCAATTATTTTTAAGGGGAAAAAATTTGGAACTTCCTTTCCTCCTTTCCAGCACAAATTGTTTTCTATTTATAATCTATAGCAAATACCTAAGTGAATTTTACTTTAGATTTTTTAATTCCTAAAATTTTCCAACTAGTTGTGTATAAATTTCTGTATATACATAAATATAATCAAAATCAGCAAACCATTTTAATTCTTTTACCTCTTCTCATCCTACTATCTTCACATTTTTGTTTTCCAAAAACAAAAACTACCAAACAAACGAAAATACTTACAATCGTACAAAAATTCTCGTATTCTGTAATACAAATGCTATCGAAATGCAATGTTTGTGTGTGCGTGTTGTGTTCAATTATTCGTTGTGGTTTTTGATAATTACACGAATTATAGAACCAGCATCTAGGTATGCGTCATCGAATGTACTGGCCGCTGTGCCACCTGGAACGCCACGTGCCGTCAGCACTGAGGATATTACACGGTAAGTGCAATATTTGTAGTTCTACATGTGTGTATATGAATCGTATATATGTATGTAAGTAGTATATAATACAGGTGCATATGCATACTGATGATTATTTATTTATTTAGTTTACTCAAATGATTTATTTAGTTCACAAGTAGCTGTTGTTTGTATTTGTTGGTAGTTGTTGCAAATTGCAAACTAATGGGTGTGCCGCAGGTGAAATTAAGGCTAATGACAACT